GCGACATGGTATTGTACTCATGCAGCACATTACACCACATAGAATAGCTCTTCAAACATAAAGCCTAGATTTATAAATTATTAGCATGGAACACAACCTCTGGATTGGGCTCATTGCGAGGACATAGGGCTACTTCAGCTTCACGAAGAAGATCCATCTGAAAGCATGATAATGCAAACAAGTAGCGCGACTGTGCCATTTTTGTTCCTATAAAATTTTAAACCACATGGGTATGAGAATACATCTCATCAAACAACTTTAAATGGAAAAGGGTTCCATAAAACTACCTTGCAAAAGGGTACTTCTGAGAATGCCTACCTTTTAAGATGTGATACGCACAGTACGCTTGATTATTGCGCAAATAGCAGCTTGCCAACAATTGCAAGTTTATCTGAAAGGGATGATGGGAAAATGTTAACTCCTGAGAGAGTGTCGAATGGCCGAATAGAAAAGTTCATTTCTTAAAAAAGTAGAACACTAAATGCAATGCCAACTGCCAATGCAGTACTTGCCAGGTAGAGGCTGAATGCAGAAGCACAATACTTTGAACTGAGCCAAAATATTGTAGCACTAAAATAATGGTAGAAGCAGATCGGGATGTAGAAGAAACAGAGAAACATATGAAACCTTGATCCTCATTCTAAATGCATGAAATTCAAATTTTGGAAGGTAATTTGCATTTGCATATACCAGTTTTGCAAAAACTCGTGCTCTTCTTTCATTCTGTGGGGTTTTGCACGCTTAACAATAATCTCAAAACGTATGCATCAGAAGACTCAGCAAAGTCAGAAAACCTATGTTTTGCCCACAATCAAGGGATTTAAAAGCGTTCTCACAGAGCAATTCACTGCATTGAGAGCCATGCTAGAATGCTCTCTAATTTCTAGACACTTTTTTTTAGTGTAATTTCTAGACACTTAAATAAGTTGAAAATTGATACTCTTCTGAACAATTTTTACCCTAGATGAATATTATGATTTTTTGAATGGGCCGCTGAAGATGTAACCATAAAAATAATACAGCTCCAATAATATAATTCAATCCCATAAGATTCCTGCATTAAACGGAACCAGTCCCTGTCTCGTTTTCAGTGATTCCAGCGCTCCATAACATTAAAACACGCAAAAAGATAATCACATGTCCTTTCTCCACCATGACTGCTCTTACTCTAATCCAAACAATGAGATCCATTTCCAATTGTTGAACTTAAAACCCCTTTCCATTTCACAAACCAGACTTTCAGGGACAAAAAACGTATTTGACATCAAAACTTCCATCACTGCTACCAAATAAAACCAACTCTTACACAAATACTAGGGTTTTAGAAAAACAAACACTCCACAAACCTAGGGTAACGTAACTAGTGGTTTCAGTGTTCAATGGCTGGATGAAACTTCAAAATAGGGTTTAGGGGGGGTTTACCTCGGAGGGGAACTCTGCACAGAGGCGCTCGCATAAGAAGGTGGCATTTCTGTACATATAGAGGCGCAGGCTTGTGTTGATACAGTCTACGAGAACAGCTTCCATGGCCATGGCCTTTTCTATGCATTAACCACGAAGAAGAGAAGAGAGATGCACCAGCAACGGGCTTCAAGATTTTAAACAGAAGTTCGAATCAGAGCGCCACGTGGTAATGAGATGAGAGAGAAAGCGCGATCATTTAAGTGAGAGAAAGTTTTGAAACGATAGGAAAGTGCCGAAGTCATGAAGATAGAGAGTGGAGAAGAGGGAAAGTGCGATTATTTTAATAACTGATAAACTTTAGGAGAGAGAGAGAGTGGAGGGTTGGTGAGAGAAGGTACGAGACAGATGATGAGAGAGAAATTGTGATTTTCTAGAGAGAGAAAATTACTTTGGCACCTGAAGAGATTTGGAATATATTAATCATGATTTTTGTATGGGTTCATAAGAGATTTGAAATTTTATTAATCATAAGTTTTAGATCGGTGTGATTTGTAAATGGTATCAACATTAAATGATCAAATTTATCGAGCCTTATGGTAAGGTCTTCTATTCCATTCTCACTATAAGGTAAGGCCTCGAATCCTCATTGATTTTTATTATTTTTACTTACTTAAAAAAAATAAAAATAAATAATGTACTCCTCTGAATCTCATTAAAATATGCCAATTTCAGTGCTAAAAATCCTTATGATGGCCTAAATACCTATTTTTATCCTTAATTATGAAATTTGAAGCTCAACAACTTGCAAATTTCGATAATTATTAGTTTGGAGTTTATAAGAAACATTATTTTTAGGACTCATAGACTTTTTTGTTTCATATTCACAAATCTCAAGGTTGAATGATCAATTTTAGATTTTTTAACATCAGAACAACCTTATCATTTGAGTTATTTAAATGCACCTTTTTCAAACTTATATAATTTTTTCATTTTCAAATGATGTAAATTATACATGGGGCGATTTATATGAACGAAAACTTGGACAAAATAAATTTATCATAATGCACCTAAGATAATAACTATTTAATATGTATTTTGATTTTATTTCATAATATCCATCCAAATACACATTATTTTGGGTTGAAATAAGGGCAAGTTTGATTGGTGTATAAATATTTCCTCGGAACAAATATTTATACATGTAAACTCTTTGCAGGGAAAACGTTAGCAAAATTTATTTTCATCATGTTTGGTAACAATTTTAAAAAACAATGTGTGATAAGTTACATATGTGTGGGAACTTGTTTGGTATTTAAATATATTTGATACATATATTATATCAATATATGTAATATTTAAATCATATTTATTTAAAGGATGCGGTTTGTATAGAGTTGAGGCTCTAAACAATCAATTAGAGTCAACCTTAAAATAGTATTGAGAAATATGATTTTAATAAGGGAAATCTTTGTGATAGCCTTAAAATATATTTTTATCTTTAATTATAAAATTAAAGCTTAAAAATTAGTGTAGATTGAGCAGATCTATGAAAATCTTGAAAATTGACGGTAAAAAAATACATTAAAAAATACACTATTTTCAAAACTTTAAATTCATTTTTTTCTCATGTCTATGCATCTTGATGTTGAGATGATTAATTTGAGAATATCTAGGCATCAAAATAACCTCTTATAGTGAATTTTTTGAGGTGGGCTCTATTTTAATTGTTTAGAGCCTCACTCTATATAAATTTTTTCCTTATTTATAACTATTTACCATTTATGTCTACTATTCCAACTCAAAATATGTGTATTTTGATGGCACTTTGAAGTTAACTAAAGAATTGGATAAATGGTTAAAGTTAATATCTTAGGTCATTTTGTCAAATTTTTTTAAGGGAAAGTATACGTAAGGTTGCAACCTTCAAATGTAGAATCACATGTGCGCCTCAAAAATCTATCGAACATATTATTTTAATGTTGATAAAACCTCTAGTCGATCATCTCGACATTAAGATTTATGAATATGAAAAAAAAAAAAAAAAAGGTTCCCGGAAATAATGCATCTTGCAACACATTATCTAGACCGCCGATTTTCAATATTTTCATATATTTATATATCTACTTGATTTTAACTATTTTTTAAATTTAAAATTTTTAATTAGGTATGAAAATAGATTTTATGATAATATTAGGAATTTTTTATAACAAAATTACATGTTATGATAAATTTTTAAGGTGCGCCTTAATTAGATTGTTTAAGGTTGCATCCTTATAGAAACCGCACCCTTTTTAAAAAGACAGTCAAGAAAATGTAAATTTATTTATTTAAATGAAATAAATTCCTTATCCATTTTAAGCATGAAATAAGGATGGAGATATTTATACTAGAGAGAGAATGATAGAGAGAGAGAACAGGCGTTGTCGTTTTGCTCTACTTTTTCTTAGTGAAGAATTTCCAAAATAATTTATTTGAAAAATTATCCAAAAATAGTTTTTTTTGAGGATATAGAAAATGCAACAAACATAGGTTATCTAGGAAAGCAAGACATGATAAAAAAAACAAAT